ATATGTGTGCATGCATGTATACATATACATATGGGTTGTTAAATGTGTGCATGTGTATACATAAACACAATAAATCTGTGGTGCCTATAAAAGAAATCCAAAACTTCTACTGAAAGACAAATAACAGGAGAGTTCTTCATGTTTTGAGCAATAAGAAAATACTATTAACATTTTCCTAAATTGATTTGTATAGTTGATGCAATTCCACGAACACTTAAATACTTTTGAAGGAAGCCTACATGCTTTGTGATGAGGAAAGAATATTGAAATTTTCCTAAATTGATTTGTATATTTGATGCAATTTTATGACCATTGACATGATTTGAAGTTCATTTGGAAGCATACATTTGGTAGAAGAATTCGTAAAATGCTGACAATAGGCTAATAAGGAACAATTTGCCCCACAGAGGTATTGAAGCATGTTATAAGCACAAGATAATAGGGTAGTGTAGAACTGAGCCTGGAGGAGACAGATAATTAGAAGGAAATAATGGGCATAGAAAGAACTCAAATAAATAAGGAGTCCTGGTTTTTCATAAAGGAGACACTTTTAAGCCAGTTGAATTATTTAATTATCAGCCCTAGAAAAACTGACAAGTCACTAAGAATAAAAACTGAATTAAGCTGGGTGGTTGTAATAAAAACTGAATTAAGCTGGGTGGTGGTGGTACACACCTTTAATCTCAACACTCAGGAAGCAGAGGCAAGTGGATGGATATCTGTGAGTTTAAGGCCAGCTTGGCCTACAAAGTGAGTTCGAGGACAGCCAGAGCTGTTATACAGAGAAACCCTGTATCGAAAACAAACAAACAAACAAACAATAACCAATCAACCAAACACAAACTAAATTAAATTATTAATACATCTTTCACGGAGATAAACGCCAAATTTATCAAATAATAAAGTATAAAAACCCCACCACAAGCTAAAAACTTGAGTGAGAAAAGCTTCACATGTTACACGGATCTAATAACACTAATGCTGTTCTTACAAACAATATATAGAATGAACCATGTAGAAAAGTAAGCAAGGGCATTGAAAGAAAAATACAAAGATGAACAACAAATATTTAAAAGCATTCACTTCACTGATAAGGAAATCTAAACCAAAGACAATTGCATATTATTATTATTATTATTATTATTATTGCTCAGAAAATTGCCAGGATCATGATTCCTGCCAATGGTGCAGAGGTTGGCAGTGAGTGTACCCACACCCTGCTAGGAGGAGTAGGTTCCATTCTTTTGGATAGTACTTGGTAGCAAGTGTGGTAACTGTTAAACAACCTTAGACAAGTAATTCTACCTCTAGAAAATATTCTGAAGTAATAAACATCGATTTATAAACAAAGGTCTCACTCTAAAGAAACTAGGTTATTTATCAACAAAATCATGTAAATCAATTACATGTAGTTTTACAATGCAGTCCTATAAAATCATTAAAAATAATGTAGCTTCAAATTCAGTTATGATACTTTTGGAAATGTTACAATAATTATGTTTAGAAACATTACAAAATAGCAGACAGGCACTGTGTGACTTTATGTAATAAAAATTAAGCCAGAAAAATTCATTTAGTGCACTGTAAAATGCACTAAAATGTTATTGGCACTTATCACACTCCTTGGTCAGATTATTGTTGAGTTCTGGGCAACATCTGCTTTCTTTCTCAACATGTTTTCTTTTCAATGTCCACAATTTTTGGATAAGAAATTTAGGCAACTTAATTAGAAGAAAACAAAGTTATTTTCATTTCTACAAAAAAAAAAAAAACCACAACATTGAGTTGAAGTAAATATATTTCAAAATATTCTTTTTCATCTTCTTTTAGACCTAGCTCCTGGAGGTTCTGATGATTGGATCTACGATTTGGGCATCAAATACTCATTTACGATTGAACTTCGAGATAAAGGCAGATACGGATTCTTGCTGCCTGAGAGATACATCAAACCCACCTGTACAGAAGCTCTGGCAGCAGTCTCCAAAATAGCTTGGCATGTTATTAGGAACCTTTAATGCCTGTGCCTCTGCTCCGGTGTTTTTATTTTACTGATTTCAGCAACACCAAATTGTTGAACTAGCTTTTTTCTAAGTCTAATCAGTTTCCTTGGTTTTGTCAAAGAATAAAATACATAACACTTGGAGCTTAAGGGGGACAATGGCTCGTGTGTATTTTAACCTTTTTATTTTAAGGGGCTAGGTATTGATCCTCAATCCCTCCCCCCTTGATTTATGAGGACCAGTTATCTTAAGCAGTTTTAAGATTTATTATTTGTGTGTGTGCGTGTGTGCCCCTGCGCGAGTTTAAGCACCTGATTCGTGCTGGACCCCAAAGAAAGCGCTGGATCCACTGGAATTGAAGTTACAGAAGGTTATTAGTAGCCACGTGGGTGCTGGGAACCAAATCTGGTCTCTGCAAGAGCAGCAACCGCTCTTAACGGCTGGAGCTGTTTCTCCCGCCCCTCTTAAGCTACTTGAATACTAATTTCATGCAGATCATTGGATCCAAAAAAAGCAAAAGCAAAGGCACTTTGAAGCATCTTAAGGATTTCCACTCCCAAATTGCAGTCAATCTCTGCTCGTGTTCCTGCGAGCACAGCTTTTAGTTAGGCGGGGGAAGGGCGGATGTCAAATTCTGCAGCTCAGAAGCATGCCAGGCTGTGGTTACTGCCAGTGACAAAGTGGCACTTTACGCACTGGAAAACCGTTACATCGAGAACCTTTTCATTAATTGAGAAAAATCTCAGCTCCCCCTAGCCAGCTCCCAGTTTCCTTTCCCAGATCTCCGTACGCAGGAGGCGCTCACCCTCCTCGCCGCCCTCGTGACGCCGGGGGTGGGGTGGGGGGCGTAGTCCGGGAGGGGCGGGACTTACTCTCTGACGACTAATCTGGCGGCCGGAAGCCGCCGGGCCTGGAGAGGAGCGGGGCAAACCCGCGACTTCCGGCCGCGTTTCGCTGCTCCCTGTCTAGCGGCCTGGCGGAGTTGCGGGTCCTAGTGCGTTGCCCTGCTGCGGCCTCTGTGCGTCTCGTCTTGCGTCCCGAGCTCTCCGGAGCCCAGCGAGGATCCGGGCGGCTCCGCTGCTCCCTGTTGCCGGCGTCCGCCCGCCTGCGGAAGACCGGTTCCTGGGAGCCGCGCGTGCCCGTCCTCCTCGTTGTCCTCCCGGGGCCGGGCGCGGGGACAGTCGGCTGCCCAGCAGCTTCTTGGAGCGGAGGCGGCAGGGACGCTCGAGGACTGCGCTTACTGAGGGTGCTCGGAGGAGGAGGTAAGCGTTCTGGGAGCTAGCTGATCGGGAGAGGCGTTGGGCCGGGCACAGGTGGGAGGCTGGCGCTGTGTTCTCCATCCTCTTGCGGCTGACGCTCCTTTGCTGTTCTGAACTCTGCTTGAGCATCCCCCTCTTAACTCTGCAGTAGCTCCCAGTGCTTAGATGTGTCGTCTGTTGCTCTAGTAGCGGTCCTGGAGTCCGTGTCAGGGGGCAGGCGGACTTGGATACCCTGGCGCGGTGGTCTCGTGTGTGTGTGTGATGAAAGGGTGCAGCGGTGCAGTCTTGGATTTAAGCATTATCTCTCCACGTATTCTAGACCTGTTGGAGAGAGTCTCGCTTTGGATTGTTTCTGTCTGGTCTTGCATTTTTTCCTGGCTGTAATAAATACTGTTGGGAGTGTAGGAGTTCTCCTTTATCTTTACAGTCCCTGGTCACTTTTGACAACTCTATCAGAAGCAGGGGAGGGTGGGATGAAGAGAGAATGTATGTCTGGCAGTATCTTTCTTTAAGCAGGTTAACATTTATGTGGCTGGAAAAGTATTCCGAGTTGAGAAGACTTGGATGATATTGGTAGGATCTTGTTTGTGAAGGGCAGTATCTTGTTAATTAGTTTTTATTACGAATTATGGACATGTGGAGTCTTCTGGTTTGTGGGGTTTTGAGGAAGTAATTTGAGAAGTTTGGAACTTTTAAGTCTGGCATTTAAGATTTTAAAAGTCTGTGATACTGGGCGATGGTGGCGCACATCTTTAGTCCCAGCATTCAAGAGGCAGAGGCAGGCGGATCTCTGTAAGTTCCAGGCCAGCCTGGTCTACAACAGAGCGAGTTCAGGACAGCCAGAGCTACACAGAGAAACCCTGTCTCGAAACAAAACAAAACAGTAACAACAACAATAAAACAACCAAAAACTCCTTAGAAAAGTCTGTGATACAGTGGCTCAGTTAAATCCAAATGACAATGTGGTTCTGCCTGTGTGTTCAGTTTTGCTATATAAATTTGACATTACTAGCTTTAGTATCTAAGCAACGTATTTTGCAACATAGTGTATAGATCTGCAAGCAACTTCCAGCCCTGTAATGCTTGATTCTATCAAATAACACTTTCATGTGCAGGGTTAGCAGGTGGATGTAGGCATGTAGCGTAGCAGTTTGTGTGAAAACGGTTGTGCCCTGAAGCTTGAGTTTCAGTGTGAGCATCTGGTAGGATGCATTTGTTCAAAACACACAATTGACATCCACCCATAGCATGCGACCTCAGATACCCGAATATACAGACACTCAAATCCCTTCTAGAAAATGATATAAACTTTGAACATGTCCACACCTTGTGTGTTTTCAGTCATCTCTATACTCCTAATACATAATATGATGTAAATACTATATACTGTTTAGGAATAATATAAATAAAGGTTTGTACATTTTCATGTAGTCTTTTTTTTAGTATTTTCAATGCAGGGATACAGCCTTTTATTTGCTTTCTGTTTGCTGGTGATTCAGAGTGATCATTAACTGCTTATTTTGAGATACATACTCTATCCACAGGCACACTACCCTGAGCACCTGGTCTCAGAAGCTAAGCAGGGTTCGGCCTTGTTAATACTTGGATTGGAGATGTACACACATAACTCAGTGTGATGTTTGTAATATAAATTTAAAAATACTAAAGCACAGTGTAACATATCAATACATTTTATTCAGTTGTTAGTGTTACTTAATTATGAATTTTGAATGTAAACCTAGATCACATCCTTGAGGTATTTAACTTTCCAAAATTTGAATCCAAAATATACCAGTCTCAAACATTTTAGGATAAGGGTTCTCAATTAGCATATGTTTCACTGACAGAATTTTAGCAGACCTTGGGAGTAATTATTCAAAAAGAGCCACCTCTGTGATGCTCCTTTCTCAGCCGTGTTTATGGTGTGGAACTCAGAGTACATTGTTCCCTGGAGAAGGGGAGCAGTTCTCATATTTGAGATACATTTTCTGTCTTAATAGGCTCATCATTAGTGCCCCAGAATTTGATTCTTTTTAATTGAAAGGAGTTGATGAAAGCTCCAGATACCTATTAAATTCCAAAGGAGAGCAGATAAAGAAAACAGCTGCATAGTTGTTTGGCTTAGTTGAGAAAGGCATGACGTAACAGGTGCTGACAGCTTAAAGAAAAGAACAATCTGGATACCAAGTGAAGGACATCTTCAGACGAGAGTCAGTTTACTAGTAGGTGATTGGTTTACAGTCTCTGTGATTGGAAAGACATTGGCATCCACAATTCTGGTTCTTGTGTCTACTACTTCTCCTCCACTTTGAAGCATTCATATCTATCCCATTAATGGTTTCTGTCCTCTAATCAAATCTACACTCCACTCTTTTGTGGTATTCATCTTTCTTTGAACCCGTCATTTAGGATTGAAATTTTTGAGCTTTCACATCAGTTGATTACATGGTTTTGAGTTACATGGTTTAATATATGAAAAAGAAATGTTTTTCTGGTGTATTTATTTTCCAACAAATGAGCTTTTAAGTTATATTATTTTCTGTTCAAACGGTGTTTATTCATGCAGAGTCACAACTGTGTGGCTGCTAATGTTGAGGACAGTGTTGTGTTGAAGACTGCCAGGAGTTCTTAGGGGACAATGTATTAATTAACTGGGTTACTGTAATGAAATTCCTGAGACAGGATGCTTAGGAAGAAAGCTAATTCCCACTTCTGGCTTTAGAGATTTATGCCCAGGATTCCATCCATTGCTTTGGGCCTCTTGGGTGGGTGGCACAAGCCAGGAAGTGAAGTTAGAAGGAGAGATGAACAGACAGGTTCTACAGTTCCCTTTGAAAGCACCCCTTTGCCTCATGGTGCAAGGATTTCCTGTTATTCTTTACCTCTTAAAAGATCCACAGGACCTCATGTTACCACCACCCTGAGGACCAAGCCTTCACTGATAGTCTTTTGGGGCTTGGGGGTGGAGACTCATCCAGACCTTAGCAAATGATCAGAAGTGTTCATTCCAGAACCATTGTGGAACAGATGCCTGTAATTCCAGAACCCAAGAAGCTGAAGTAGGAAAAGTCATGCCAGATGGATAGCTTTAATTCTTGTTTTTACCTTTTGTGCCTCATGTTTTCATCCTCTCTATAATCTAGACCCATTACCAAAATACAGTGTAATTGTAGGACAGAATCTGGCACTATAGGATTCTGAGGCAAAAGGAGAATACATCTTTTACTTCATTGTATTTCCCCCTTCATTTGGAAGGCTAAGTAGTAGCTGGGAATAAAAATTCCTGGGAAATTCCCTTATAGGCGAATCTTTTTCTTTTTTTAAGATTTGTTTATTTTATTTTTATGTATATAACTGATTTGTCCAGATGTATCTATGTATGTGCATTGCCTGTGTGCCTGGTGCCTTAGGAGGTCAGAAGAGGGTGTTGGATCCCTTGGAACTGGAGTTAATGGATGGTTGTGAGCTACCGTGTGTGTGCTGGGGATTGAACCATGGTCCTCTGCAAGAGCAACAAGTTCTTTTTAACTGATGAGCCCCTACAGGTGACTCTTGATCATTCTTCATGCTCTTTGTAAAAGCAATTGATTCCATTTGTATGGGAAGCAGCTTTTTACTGATAAGAGTACAAGACTGGGATGTGGCTTATAAGTTGGGGTCTGTGATTCTTACTTCATTTGGTGTAAAATTCCAATGGGATCCAGTCATCTAGGATTGGAGAGAAGCTGTGAAGCCGAGCATTCTAGCAGGAGGTCAGGAAGAGAGCAGTGATGAGCTAAGTGGAGGTGACAGCATGTGGAGAAGTAGCAGAGCAAGGGAATGCCATGATCCTTTGGAAGACCAAGAAAGGAGATGGCAGATGACCAGTATTTCAGATACAGTAATAAATAGTGTCTTAGTCAGGGTTCTCTAGAGAAGTGAGCTGCAACCTTCCTAATGCTGCGACCCTTTAATACAGTCCTCATGTTGTGGTGACCCCCAACCATGAAATTATTTTGTTGCTACTTCTTAACTGTAATTTTGCTATTGTTATGAATCATAATGTAAATATTTGATATGTGACCTCTGTGGGAGTCTTGACCCTCAACTTGTGAACCACTGCTCTAGACGAACAATGGATATATATGAATGAATATATATTATAGATATTTATGTATTATATATACATGTGACATGTGTATCATATATATGTATATCTATGATTTATTAGAGTGGTTCACAGGCTGTGTCCACCTTGTCCAACAATGACTATCTCCCAACAGAAAGTCCAAGAATCCAGTGGTTATTCAGACCACAAGGCTGGATGTCTCAGCTGGTCTTCAGTATACATCAGAATCCTGAAGTAGGTTCTGTTACCAGAGAAGTGAGAGCAAGCAGGCAAAGAGCAAACAATTTCTTCTTGTCCTTTATATAGCTGCCACCAGAAGATGTGGTCCAGATTTAAGGTGGCTCTTCTCACCTCAAAACATCTGGGTTTAGGATGGGTCTTCCAACTTCATATCATTCAATCAAGAAAATTCCTTCTCAGATGGACACAGCCCCTTGGGTTTTAGTTGATTTCAGCTGTAGTCAAGTTGACAACAAGAACAGCATCACAAAGCTTGCTTGGTGGAATCTGTTAGTTTCTGGTAGGAAGGGGTGGTGGAAGTAGTCCCATTGAGGGATGGAATGCTGGAGGCAGAGCTAACCTATTTTCATTGATAGTGGTGGTGGAGGGGAAAATGTAACGTAGTGTTGTAGGATGAGACCACCTACTTAGGAGGAAAAAGATGTGCATTCTTTAGGTTCTGAATAACAAGTTCATCAGGGAACTTAGAATCTGTTCAATTTTATTAAGTGGTTGAGGATCATGATGTGTACTTATATATTGATTGATAATAATATAATGAAACTTTAAGATGCATTTTTAACTTAAAACTTTTCTGCCTGCTCCCACCCCCAACCCCACCCCCAGTTTTTCGAGACAGGGTTTCTCTGTGTAGACCAGGCTGGCCTTGAATCCACCTACCACTGCCTCCCAAGTTCCAGGGTTAAAGGTATGAGCCATCATGCCTGGCTAGCATACATTTACTACTTATTACCTTCTACATAGATAGAAATTGTATATTTCTAGGTGTGTGTGTGTGTGTGTGTGTGTGTGTGTGTGTGTGTGTGTGTTTTTAGCTAATCAAAGCTCTTATTTTCTAGGTCTTTTAAATCTGCACAATTTCTCTAAGTTTTCTGTTCTTTTTTGTTCTTTTCCATAATCTACTGGATATCTGATATGGCTTTGCAGTATCTTCCCCTGAACATTTATGTTTGTGCTGAGAATGAGTTCAAGAAAAATTAAAGATACACATTGTGTTGATGCTAATATATATTTGGCTAATTTGCTTTCTTTTCTTGGAGAATGGCTGATATAACTGATTTTGCTCACCTATGTGGTAGTTATTTTCCAACTTGTGTTTAAAAAAAGGTTACATTTTATGTTAAAGAGTTTATAATCTAAACTTCCCAATTAAATCCACTTGGATGTATCATTTTATGGCTTCCTCTTGATTTGTCATCTTTTCTCACTTGTCAGACTTTGTTCTCACTTTTTGAATCTTTATCAGATTCAAGTGTGACTTGAGTGACCTAGTTAAATGGAATATTTTTATCATCACTATTGAGTTTTTGGCTTTGATTTTCTATTCCAGGATTTTTTTTTTCTTTTTGTTGTTGTTTTTAAAACAAAATTTTACTATTTATTACTGGCTGACCTTGAACTCACTATTTAGAGTCCAGGCTGGCCTTGAACTCACAGCAGTGCTCTTAGTCTTCTGACTAAGGCACTTAGGCATGCCCTACCACACACTCAGCTAGTGCTGATGTGATTTCATGTCCAGTAATATTTATTTATTTTGAAACCATTTTAAAAATCACCTGTGATCTTTATAAAGACTAGTTCTGTTGCTGGGGTTGTAGCTCAGTTAGTAGAGAATGTAAGGAAGCCCTGTGTTCAGATCCAGCACTGCATGGTGGTCCATTCTTGGAATTGCAGAATTGGAGATGGAAACAGGAGGAGAGAAGTTAAAGACTGTCCTCTGCTGGATGCTGAAGTTGAGGTCAAACTGGGCTTCAGGAAATCTTGTCTCAAGTGTATACACACACACACACGCACGCACGCACGCACGCACGCACGCACGCACGCACGCACGCACGCACGACTACTTATGTATACCAAGTAGAACTTACTTTTTTTTTTTTTTAAGCTGCCATGGCTCTTTCTGATAATCTGACAATTAGATTTCTACTCATGTTCAGGTGATGTAAAATGTGCAGTTCAGCTTCTCTTGCTTTTGCTCACGAGACAGTTTCTTCCTTCAGATCAGTATGAGTTATTACTTGGTCTGGACTTTGTTTCCTAATGTGTGCTGTCATCTGAATTTTTACTTTCAATTAAATAACTGGATTAGTTTTCTTATATAGTCTTAGTTTTTTAATGCTTTGTTTAGCTTTTTATATACTTTTGCAATTTTCTTTCTTATTGCTGTTAATGACCCATTCCTTACTTTTAGCACCCTTGACTTTCATGGCAGTGTGTGTTGGATTATAGAAATACCTCGGAGAGTTTTGTTTTTGGTATTACTGAAAAATTAACATTCTTCATCAAATTGCCTTTCCATGACCTTCGCAGCAAAGAATACTTAAACAGCACCCGCTTTTCTTCCATACTGTTGTTTGTTTGTTTGTTTGTTTGACTTTTGATTTTCTTCCAGACGTGGTCATTCTGTGAACTGGAGATCCTCCTGCCTCAGCTTCCTGAGGCTGGGGATTACTGATGTGCGGCGCCACCCCCAGACATTCCCATCCTCATTTGAAGCAGTACTTTTGTAGCCACTGAAACAATATAAAGAGCTGTATCCACTTTCAGTTAAGATATCACCTGGGTTTATGTCCCATGTTCTTTGACTTACATATCTTTTAGTTAACCGGTTGTTAGGCTAGCAATCTTCTCCTAAAGGACAGAACTACCAGATTTTACAACGGCTTTTATAAGTGACTCACAAAGTAATAACTGTAGTTGAATGTCCAGTACAGAGGAGGTCCAGGTCCAGCCCATGGAGTCCAGAGTTGCTAGACTTAGAAGCGTGGTATAGCAGGCAACATGTCTACTAGCATCCTCTTCTGTTTCCCTCTGTCCAAGCCCTGGCCTCAGGAAGGCACTCCTGCTTTTAGAGTGTTACCTGTAGCTTTGTCTGCTTGTACGTTTTAGGCTCAGGTGTATAAAATTGAAAGATTTTACAGTTTAACTCTCTCTCTTTTGGTTAAAGTAGTTCAGAATGTCAAAAATTAGGAGGAAAGTCACAGTGGAAAACACCAAGACCATATCTGAGAGTACATCCAGAAGACCTAGTGTGTTTGAGAGGCTTGGACCCAGCACTGGCAGCACAGCAGAGGTGAGTTGTCACTACTGTGGATACAGGGAGCTTACTAGAGGGGACTAGCAGTGTGACTCAGTGGTGGAGCCCTTACCTAGCCTGTACAAAGGGGCCCCACCCTCAATCCTGTGCCCTGGGGGAGACATTTAAAATACTATTATTGAAGTACTAATTGCTATTATAAAGGAAAATGGGTTGTTTTGTTGTGGGGTTGATTTAGCAAATTTTACTCTAGGAAAGAAATGAAAGAGGGGTTATGGTTTGCAAATTTCTCATTGTTTTATAAGGTTTTTGTTTGTTCTATATATACAATGTATTTTAATCCTATCCATGCCGCATTCCAGTAACACCCGACCCCATACCCTGTTGTGGTTTGTGATTCCTTTATGGTATTGCTATTGGAGTAGCGTGGGCTTAGCTGGCATTTGGGTCGCTCTGACTTGATTTTGCTCTAGTAGCATCTTCTCTTCAGACATTCACGTGGTGATATCTGCCTCCTAGACACAGTGCCGGAACTGGCTGAAGACGGGCAGCTGCCTCTATGGAAACACGTGTAGGTTCGTCCATGGCCCTTCACCTCGTGGGAAAGGTTACAGCAGCAATTACAGAAGGTAAACTGAGAACGGAAACATTTGCTGTAGTACTAAAAACCAACTTTAGCAATTTAGTGTAAAAATCTGGAATTGAACCGTATATTTGGTCAGATTTCCTGTCTTGGGGTAGTCTTGACAGTCATAGATTAGCCAGATCTTTTGGTTGTTACTTTTAAGATTAATAAAATGTTAGCTTTAAAATGTACATGTTTGTATGTCTTGATAATAGATCCTTTTTCAATGTGTTTATTCAGATCATTGCACACCTGTAAGGAGACTGAGTCTGGGGGCAAACTGCCCCTAAAATGCCCCCACCTCATACTGCCCCAAGTTTGTATTAAATCTCCACTTAAGCAGAACTCAGAGGTGTGAGAATTCATTTTCAATAAAGTTAGACTAGTCATTCTTAACAGTAAAATTTAAATAAGATTTAGTTGTAATTTTCCAAAGGCCTTTTAAATTTGTATCTTTTATTTCTTTTGGATTTTTGAGACAAGGTTTCTCTGTGTAGCTTTGGAGCCTGTCCTGGAACTCACTCTGTAGACCAGGCTGGCCTTGAACTCACAGAGATCTGCCTGGCTCTGCCTCCCGAGTGCTGGGATTAAAGGCATGCACCAACACTGCCCAGCTTAAATTTGTGTCTTCTACAAGCTTTGTTGTAAAATCTGCTTGCCAAACCTCTTAGGGCACTGTGTTAATATAAATGTCTTTAGGGGCTGGAGCGGTATAGGTCAGTGGTTAAGAGCCTTGACTGCTCTTCTAGAAGACCTGAGTTTAGTTTCCATCACCCACATGGTAGCAAACAGC